TGGCGTGAGAAGCAGCCACTGGCTGTGCTTTGCAGCACTTCCCCCCATGAATGTTGAGGGGAACCAGCTTTGGGGCTTTCGTTTTGGTTTGCGTCCCACTATTAAATTTGCTGCCTCTCAATCCAGGTTACCTCTGGAACCTCCAAGTGAAACTTCAGCCCATAGTAAACCTCTTGCCAGATAAAGGAAGGCTCATGGACTTCCTCCTCCAGAGAAGGGAATGCAAGACCGTCGTCCTGTCGGTGTGCTCGCAGAGTAAGTGGGGTCCTCACCCTGCGGTCTGATTCCTGACATTGCCTGCGCCGCCCACTGGGAGACGGGCCACATTTTTATTTTGTCTGCAGCCGGTAGGCTCAGTGACAAGTGGATTATTTAACCCCCTGGAAAGGCTGCTCAGTATAAAAATGACTTGTCTCTACAAGACATTTCCTGGGCAAAGACTAAATAAAGGAGACCTAAACATGGGCACACGTGAGGGTAGGGGCTGACCCCGACCCCAGCTTGAAAACAAACCTGTTTCAGAATCCAAGTCACTCACGACATTTATACCTGCTTTGAGAATCTTCTGACGCCCTCCGTAGCTACGTTAGTAACCGGCAAGGGCTGGTGAGTGCCCTTGTGCCCCGGTCTCTACACCGTTTCTCCGAATGCCCTGGTGGCCCCCGGAAATGAGTCATTTCTCTCACAGTGTGTTTAAGTTCTAAAGTTCACACAAGGTTGGCCGACCTGTGTGAACCCTGACTCCTTCCAGTGTTGACAGAGTCAGACAGAGCAACACTGCCTGTGATAGCCACTGTTTTTGACAAACTCAACCAGGAGTATAAGAAGTACCTGGACGCCGAGCAGAGTTACACGCTGGTAAGTTGTATGTAAGTGACAAGGACCTCCTCCCTGCCCCACCCCGGGTATACTGTCTGTGTAATTATGACACAAGATTCTGACAGAATGACACCACTGGGGTTTGCTGTGTGCCAGAGGGCAATGTGGCCGGCCGTAGGGGGAACGTAACTCCAGAGTCCCTGTGCCCCATGAGCTAGAGGCTGAACACCACTTAATGTCTTCACCTTCTTTTGTTGTTTTTTAAAAATTATTTTCTTTTGGCTGTGTTGGGTCTTTGTCGCTGTGTGCGGGCTTTCTCTAGTTGCAGCAAGCAGGGGCTACTCTTCACTGCGGTGCGCAGGCTCCTCGTTGCGGTGGCTTCTCATTGCGGAGCACGGGCTCTAGAGCGCAGGCTCAGTAGCTGCGGCCCAGAGCATGGGCTTAGCTGCTCCGCGGCATGTGGGATCTTCCCGGGCCAGGGATCGAACCTGTGTCCCCTTCTTTGGCAGGCAGATTCTTAACCATGCGCCACCAGGGAAGCCCTCTTTTGTTGTTTTTAATCTATGTTTGATCTTACACGTAGATAGCTCCTTGGTCTGCCTTTATTTTATGGATAAAAAAAGCAGTCTCAGTTTGGTTATTTTATATGTCTTTCTGCCAATCCAGAGCCTAGACTCAGTAAATCAGAAATACAATCATTTTGCCGCTTGTTCTTCCTTTCCTCTGAGGATGTAATAGCTATAAAAATTAAGACGTGTCCTGGCACTCAGTCAGGATCCCCTTAGGACTGTGATGACTCAGCATTAGCCCTGTGCTTTTCCTATAGTGGGCTCAAGTGTTTGTTGTGAAGGGCTGGAAAAAATTAACGTGGCTTATCAGGGTCTGCTGTACTCCTCCTTATTGTACCTTCTGAAGCTAGAAAGAAGTTCAGGACAAGTGGAATGAATGATTCCACTTCAAGAATCTGATTAGTCCAAAGGCTAAAAATGGAAGTGGTTTTAAACAATAACAAAAACCCCAGAACGGCCGTCCCCTTCAGCTACTCAGGGCTAACCCAAATGCTAGGTGGTCTGTGATTAATAAAATTAGGGAGTTATTTTAAGAGGTTAAAAAAAAAAAAGTCTCCCTGGCAGTCCAGTGGTTAAGACTCTGTGCTTCCACTGCAGGGGGCGCAGGTTCGATCCCTGGTCGGGGAACTAGGATCCCTGCATGTGGAGCGGTGCAGCCAAAAATAAATTTTAAAAAGTCTCGATAAAACTATGACTTAGGCTTTTTAGTTCCATCCGTGAACACTGGTGTATTTCCTGACCTCCTAAACTCCTCCCCGGCCAGCACAGGAAAGAGTTTGTCCAAGAAATGAAGTAAGTGTCATCCTCTGCTCACGTCTTAGGCTCCCAGCATCTAGGGGTTCAGTCTTTTTGGATTAGCTGCGAACACGCCATGTCCCAGAAGACGACTGAGGTCCCGTCTGTGATGTATTGTGCAGGCACTAGAAGCGGGGCAAAGCCGGAGCGGCCCGTTCCTCAGGAGGCCGGCGCGCACCCAGGCCGTGGTCGACCAGTCTGACATGTACACCCACGTGCTGTCGGCGTTTGCGGAGAAGAAGGTAGGGGAGGCTCGCCGCCCCTTCTGGACTGAAGGTTCCCAAAACAAAGATCTCACTTGAAGGGGACTGAGGAAAACGAGTAGAACTCAGAATGTGATGAGAGTAACTGGGTTATCTTGGGTGAGGACTGAATGCTCGTGGTTTGGCTTCTAATACTCAGGCCTAAAGATGATCCCCGACCCAGGAGGTTCTGGAGAGGTTTGTGCAAAAGCAGCCAAGTAGAACCCTGGAAGCAAGGGGGCAGATAAACAAGGAGCTGTTACACGGAGCCTCCTCTGCCACTCTGGTTCTAAACACTTTTCCCCTCTGTAGGAGATGCCTCAGAAATTCGTGATAGCCGTGCTCATGGAATATATCCGCTCTCTGAACCAGTTTCAGATCACAGTACAGGTACCTTCAAGCCAGCATCTGTGGTCCCACGTTAGAGGGGCAGGGGATTATTAAAGTAAAAGCACTGCCAGTGCCCTAACCGAGGTGACTCTCTGTACACACAAGAGTCTGCACACCTGCCTCAGACTCAGCGACCCTCCTCACGTGACCCCACGTTCTCAGGTGGAATGATCAGTTTCAGGCTAGGTCGAGTTCTTTCACCCGTCACTTAGAGCAGCCGTGGTCCTCGGCATGCTGAGCCTCTAGTCTGTCGTAGTTGAGCGACGCGGACACCGTCTCTCCTTGTGTGTCTGTCTCAGCATTACCTGCACGAGCTTGTCATCAAGACGCTCGTCCATCACAGCCTCTTCTACACGCTGCACCAGTTCCTGCAGTACCATGTCCTCAGCGACTCGAAGCCTTTGGTAAGTACCACCCGATTTTTACTTCTTTGACTTAAAATTTGACCTTTCAACATACGGCAAATCTAATCTGAAAATGGGTCTTCCAGGCTTGTCTGCTCCTCTCCCTGGAAAGTTTTTACCCTCCTGCTCATCAGCTGTCTCTGGATATGCTGAAGGTAACTGATACAGCAGAGTTTTAAACCCCATAGAAGCGTGTTCCCATTACTTGCACTGACCCGGATTTCTTTTTCTCCCTTACTTCTAGCGCCTTTCCACAGCAAATGATGAAATAGTAGAAGTTCTCCTTTCGAAACACCAAGTGTTAGCTGCCTTAAGGTTTATCCGGGGCATTGGTGGCCACGACAACATCTCTGCACGAAAATTTTTAGATGCTGCCAAGCAGACTGAAGACCACATGCTTTTCTACACTATATTCCGGTTTTTTGAACAGCGAAACCAGCGTCTGCGAGGGAACCCTAGTTTCACACCAGGTGAGAATATAGCTTCAGGGAAAAGACCTGGGGCGACCACAGACTCGGACAGTAGCAGAAGGGCACTGGCGGCTGGGGGGGGCGAGAAGCCTTTTGGTTTGGAGAACTCTCGGGTTAGTTTTTAAAAAACAAAATTTTGTACCAGCCCATATAATCCTTAGCCTGTTGTAGTGAGAGTGGATTCAAGGTGCTGATGGAACTGGAGTTCTGCTCTGGAACTGCAGTGGGGTGTCGGGGAGGAAGGTAGGGTAGCCTGGGCCCAGCTCTGTCTGACATCTGGGCCTGGAATGGCCCTTTCTGAAGAATTAGGAACAAGACAGGAAATGGCTGCGGAGGGTTGCAAATGGCCTGGGGCTTGTTGATGTTTTAGTTTTAGGCAGAAAGCATTGGCTAATCACTCTTATCTCCAAAGTTATGAAATCTAAAGCACCCTCTTCCTTAGAATGGGGAGGAACCTGTAACTCTTTCAAGGCTCCTAGCATTCACTGATCACCCCGCTTCTCCCCCGTCTCTCAGGGCAGAGGGCAGTTTGCTGAGGGCTGTAAAGGTTCTGTAATGGCACAAGCTGGGTAAACAGAAAGGACAACTCAAGAGCTTAGGAAAACAAAGTATTTTATGAAAGAAAACTAAGTTAAAACCCAGTATCCACATCTAGGAGCTGCAAAGTTCATTCTCGTTTTCCTCCTTTCATGCCTCTAACGGATTAAATCTGTATTTTCCTTTACAGGAGAACACTGTGAAGAACACGTTGCTTTTTTCAAACAGGTTTTTGGAGACCAAGCTCTAATGAGGCCTACTACGTTCTGAGGTCACTTGCTAGTTTTTTTTTTTACATATATATAAAATGTGTACAAAGTTAATTTATTGCGTTAATAAAGCTCTTTAAACTACAAGATGTTGTAATAAAGTATATCTACGACATCCTCAAATGTTACTAAAAATATGGTATAGAACTTGTGTGATGGCTTACTCCTACAAAAGGAGAAACATTGCATTGACTGGCCTTTAGAAAGTGTCAGTGAGCAGAGAACAGCCTTCCTAGCGGTCCCTTCTGCCTGCCCGAGAACCAGGCTTCGTTCCTGGAGAACCGGAAGGCGCTCCAGCGTCTTGGGGCTACCTCCAGGCTCAGTAATACTGCTTCAAGGCAGAGTCTGCATTCCTGAGTTTAAAAGCGCTATGGCCGAAGCTGCTGCTGTTAAATAGCCTGACATCTGCTCGCACTCAGGGTTCAACCGAGCCTTGACAATGCAGCTGCTGTCCAGTGGTAAACCGACCAACTGACCTGCAGAGTCTCCGAAGCCCGTGAGAGGGCTAGAAATTGAGGAGCTTCTCTCGCTCTGTACCTCTGTATCGCTCTTGAGCGGCCAAACTTTTGGCTTTATTTATCGATGGCCCTGTGAGGGATAAAAAGAATGAACTTTTGGATCATTTCTTTAGGAGAAAAGGAGATAATTTCTACTGTAACACAACTTCCTATCCCCCAGAGATTAAGGGGGAAAAAAACCCCTCATTTTCTTAATCACAAAGCTATATATCAAGCAAATTAGTACTGTTCTTTCAGCCACAGGTCATTTACAGAAGCTGAAGTGACCACAGAGGCAAAAAGATCCTAAGGAGAACTCCAAATTAGAGATGAACAGCAGAGGCAGTGTTCTGCTAGAACAGCGAACGGAAATGAAAGCTGTTCCAGGGCACCGCTGGGCTGTGGCTGGACTCATGTCCTTCACCTCAGCAGGGAGGAGCCCCGGGCTGCTGACGCACAGACTCGCTTCCAATCTGACGACGCGAGGCCCCCAGTTTTCTAATGTAGTATGGACGAACGTGAAGCCCCAGGATTGGAGCTCTTCTCTTAGAAGGTTTTTACTCAGTGTTATTTATCAAATGACCATCAGTATAAGTACATTCAAATACTTCAAAAGAATGCTTCAAGGTATCCTTTTCCTTTAGTATCATGCTTCCTCCATCCCACTAGGTTAAAAATAAAAACTCTTACCTATGTAACTGAGCAAGACAGGGAGGAATATTAATCCATGAGTGGCTCCCAGTAAGACCATAGCTAAATACATCCTGAAGTAAAATATCTGGAAAATTTGAGATTTGGCAAAAGCCAAAACCATAATGCCTCCAAATTTTGTTAGTGTGATTCCACTGAATACCTAAGAGAAGAGAGATGGGGTTAGAAGCAACTTTTATCAACCTACCGTAATTGAACACTTCCTCATAGAGGGATTTCTTAAAAGCCAAGGTCCAAAGTAATGGGGGACTGAACCCCAGCTTTCAGATTTACTGATAAGTAGCATTAGGCTCTGCCTAAATTGTTTTATTTGCTACTTATGAATCTGAGGGGGAAAAAAAAGGGGTAATAAGGGTAAAGGCTGTGTATTCTGCACAGACCCCATGGCAGCCCTGCAAGTCTATCAGTGCGATTTTTCCAACAGCATTATTTTTCAATTAAGGTATGTACTATTTTTTTAGACAGTGCTATTCATTACACACTTTTTGTTGTTACTCTGTAACAATGTTGTCTGGTGGTAAAGTAACTGGTTCATAGTTCAGCCCTGTATCCTGGTTTAGCCTGAGAAGATTCTCCAAATGTGAACCACAAACTGCACACTGGGCTCCAAGCATGGCAGCTCCCCTGCTTTTCAACACACATGGCTGGCCTGGGTTTTAAACGGCTCTCAAATCAAACTTCTCTATCTTACTGCTTCAGCCATACTGTCATCTGCAAAGCAGTCTCCAGCAGTAACAGTTCTAAAGAATTTCAGGGTGGAGCTCTATGCAAGATACAGCTATTTCATGAATTGCCTGAAAACTTGTAATCCTTAGGAGCTGCTGCTAAGTAAAAGATACAAATTCTGCTTTCCCTA